CCCCCCCCCCCCCCCCCCCCCCCCCCCAGAGGGGGTACTTCCTTATAAGAGGCTAATGGGGATGTGCCGAAGTATGGGGTCGCATTTTCACGACTTGATTGACTGAAATGGGGTCGCACGTTTTCGGATTTTTTGAGGTTAAACAGTTCTCCATATTTACGGTTAAACGTACCAGAGTGTTTGTACTGCAGATGAAAAGTAAATTGTTCTTCATTCAATCTAAAAAATGGTCAATTCATAAGAATAGAAAGTGACTAAGTTGGGATCGCGAAATTTACACATTTTCCTAAAAGTGACTAGGATGGGATCTATAATTGGCCACAGAATAGACTATAATGGGGTAGGGGCTCTGAGAGGCCAGCGGCATATACCCAGCAAAAAATTAACCTAGTAACTCCCCCCGCCCGCCTGGGTCGTAAACGTGATGTATGTAATACAAAACAGTCAATATTCCTGGAATATACACGCTCGTTCCCAGTAGAACACAAAACGTTACCATAACCGACAAGGAGAAACATATAAATCAAAAATTATACATTTGGAACATAATGACTACCCGATTCATTATGTAAACACTGATTGACGTCATCATTGTGGAGTTTCTGTTGCTGAGGTGCAGACCTTCCTCCTGGCAAAACGTCCCAAGTGGCAAGGAGCAAGGAGAAACGGCTGTATTCGCAGGTTACCGATATTTGAAAGCCTTTCCCATTTGGTGAGTCATCCGAAATCGGTTATGAATTCCATTATTTGTTGAAATGCAATCTGCCGACATTTTCTCATCCAATGGGTATCTTCTTGAAGAGCGTTTATTTTAGAGACAGTCATTTGATGAATGAATGTCTTGCAAGGCGTCAGTTTTATATCTTTTGACTGGTGCAGTGAAAACATTAATTTTTTTGAAGGTAATATCTGGATTGTTATTAATCTGAAATGTGGCATTCCTTAATACGAGTAGCGAAACTGTACATGATCTATGTAATTTTTTGTGTTGCTGTTGCTGTTGCTTTTGTTTCTTTTTCCTTTTCCTTTCCTTTAGTTTTATTTGTTTTATCTGTTGTTTATAAGAAATATTTGTTTTGATAGTGAAATGTTGATGTCGGAGATAACATCAACTGCATCAATAAAGTGGGTTTTAACGTTATATTTATTGCCAGAATCTTTCTACCCTAAAGTATCAGTAAAACAGTTGCTCGATCTTTCCTTATGCAAACACTGCGAAAACACAGTCGTTCGATCTTCCTTTATGCAAACACTCAAACAGGGTTCGCACAGTCTTGAAAAGGCCTTGAATTCCATTTTTTCTTGAGAAGTCCTTAAATGTCTGTGCAAGTCCTTGAAAAGTCGTTGAATTTTCTTCAACTTGAAATTTAGTGGCCTGGAAAGTGTTTTCTGATGCTTTTTGGTTGTCAAGACAGAATATATATCTTTATCAAAAACTACAGAGCAGTGACCTAATTATTCTATACATTTTATTCATTTTACAATATACAGTCGACTGTTGTCTAGAAGTGGCAGTTGCGCATTTTGACTTGGGCGACACCGCAATACACTTTACGTTTTATCTGTCATTAGTCCTTCGAAAGGCACCATGTAAGGAACCAGATGCTTCTCAAACTAAAGGCCACGCTCGATCCTTTCTACACAGATGTTAAACGCTAGCATACATTCAGAAAATTTATGATCTTTGGGAAGCGTGGTGCATTGCTGGAAACTCTTAACAGCGCACTGAACCTACGAAAAGAACGTCAGATATTTAGTCTATTAAAAATCTGCATTTCAGTAACTGAAAAGTAATAGAATGTTTCTCAAAGAATCCCCAAAATTTCACGAAAAAAAAACAAAACAAAATGAAAGGAAAATCTCTATTGTGATAGAAGCTCGGAAAGCGGGAAAATTTCGTGCTAAAGGTTAACAATATCTGAACCATTGAGTAAACTGGGTCGTGATGAATGAATTCGTAGATAGATACAACTTCGGCCCTGTCCACAAGTATCCGTTTTGGTTTGAAAAGGGAGATTTTCCCCTCCAGTTTGATCTTGCGTCCAAACGTACCCGTTTTTGTTTGAAAAGGGAGATTTGTCCTTCCGCTTTGGTCATTCGTCCACACGCATCCCTTTTTGTTTCAAAAGGAGATTTTTCCCTCAGGATTGATCTTTCGTCCACACGTATCCGTTTTTGTTTTAAGAGGGAGATTTTTCCCTTCGGTTTGGTCTTTCATCCATACGTATCCGTTTTTGTTTGAAAAGGTATTTTTATTTTTTTTTAAAGGAAGGAAAAGCGTAAACACTCTTACCAGTTCAACTTTGTTATTGTGTTCTTTTGGTAGCCACTGTTTAAACTGCTTGATACATCTCCGGTCCATTATGCCTTTATTTTCTGCAATCACGCACTCCAGGATTGCCCTAATAGCGTTCTAAAAGAATTTAAGAGATTATAGTCTTAATGCATATCGATTCTGTAGTATTTAAATGACGAGAAAGAGAAGAGAGATCCCAAAGTTAAGGATACGCTGCTAGATTATCTAACCATCACATAGGCCCGATTTTATGGAGAAAAGTTGGCCCGGGTACAAGGTCACCAGCAGCCTACCCAAGCTACCCTGGGCAAGCCAACTTTCATACATTTCCTTACAAAACGTGGTGATCCGTTTACATGAGAAACAAACAGCTGGCTCAGCTGGAAGTTAGCCTGCGTGCACACGATAACTAAACTCTGATTAGTACCGTCTGCGAAGCAGCGCAGAGATCCTTGTTCTGAACCCCCAACGGACTCAACGAATTACCGGAAGTGCGTTTCGAATTTCCCTTCAACCTGATTGGCGATCACGACAAACAAAACAAAGGCCTTTTTTAACTGGCCAATCGTGGCGCGTACTCAAATCTGGGTACACAGCTGGAAGTCCAGAACAAGGATTTCGGCGCTGTTTCGCAGACGGAGTCAACCAGAGTTTAATTTCGTCTGCGCGCAGGCTACTGGAAGTAGGCGGGTAACCCTTTGTCGATGGTAGAGCCACGCCACCTCCTATCCAGGCCAACTTTTTTTCATGTAAGCCCTTTGGCTTACCCAGCCGGATCGACTTGGTCAAGGCAAGGCAATAAGGGCATGGGCGAACGTTGTTTTAGACAAGCACAGCACGTGCGAGCGCTGTTGGCTTACGTAAAAGGGTCAAAGCTGACTCGGCTTGGAGGGTGACCTTTTTTCCTGGGCACTTTTTCTTAATACGGAGCTAAAGCAAAGGCGTTTTTGAGAGACGTAGGTCAACCGGAAGCGAAGAATATGCCTTGAAGTTATGAAATTTGTATTGCAATTTTCTTTACACTTGTAGAGACGATTTAACTGAAAATTTGGGAAAACCACTGCTCATGAAATTAAAAAGTCCACTTCCGGTTAACGTCCGTCGCTCAAAAACGCCTTCATTCAAGTTCCTTTTAATATTTAAATATTAAAAATATTAAAATATTAAAATATTAAAATATGTAAGGGGCCCAAGGGGTCTGTTTATTCAATTGTTTGTATCATCGTGCCAGACGTGCATGAGACGAGGAGAGGAAACGCGCATAAGAAACGCTATAGTGAGGAGAAGAAAACTGTACTTGTTCCATCGAAGTCTGCTTTAAAATCAAAGGTCCGAAAAGGGGAAATACGTTGAAAGGGAATAATATACCCGAAAATGTTCCGTGTTTTTTATTAGACCGTTAATTTCAATCATAAATTAATAAAGCCTGAAATTAAGGTGGTGTCTTTAATTGTCTGAGATTTTTGAATGCTTGGCTGTTGGATTGTTTTCGTTTATAACGAAAAATTATAAAGCGAATCTGAAGAGATTTAAACAAGAGTTGCTTTTCTTTCAAGTTACCGACCTGTTTCATATGAAACAGAGCCTGAAAAGCCTCTTTTAAGCAAACTGGAATGATTTAGGTTTCCTTGATTGTTTTCGTTTATAAAGAAAAAATATAGAGCGAGACTGGAAATTTAAACTAGAGAGTTGCTTTTCTTTCAGGTTACCAACCTGTTTCCTGCTGAAATCGTTAGATTTGTTGCATTAATATCAAGGCTGAAGAGCCTCTTTCAAGCAAACTGGTATGATTTAGGTTTCCTTCTTTAAAAGTGATTGAATTCAGAAAAAGCAAATAGTCCACAACCATACACTGACCATAACAAAGTGCTATGAGACTTTACGTAGCTCTTTTGTAACAGACTACTGTGCGGCTTTAACCCTGCTCCATTGAAATAATCACTACTTTGTCGAAGAGGAAAAACGTTACTGGGACTGAATTCACTTACATAAAATGGAGGCTTCCCTTCTCTTGATCCTCCAGCCAACGGCAATGATGAAAGTAACGTTAAAAAAATCCCGATTTTGCCCGAATCGAAACCTAACGGGAACAATATATCACTGATCTGTTATTCAGAGACGTTTTTGTGTCGTATAAAACTGGGCCAAGCACTATGGAAACGAATTTTTCAAGGTTCTCTTACTCTCCTCGCATGTTTTGAATTCGCGACATCCTGTCAGAAAATCAAAGTTTGGTACATGCACAGTAACGGGATACGGTTCCTTTAAGCTAAGGCGTTTTTGAGCGACGTACGTCAAAGGGAAGTGGACCTTTTACATTCCTGAGCAGCGGTTTTATCCACATTTTCAGTTAAATCGTCTCTTCAAGTGTAAAGAAACTAAACAAGACAAATTTTATAGCGTCAAGGCATATTAACAGGGACGAGTCCTAACTTCCGGTTGATGTGCATCTCTTAAAAACGCCTTTGCTTAAGCTCCCAAATAACACATCTACTTATCCTGCTAACTATACACGGTGATTTATCATTAAAGAATATATATCCCAATCAAAGGTGGGATATATTTTGGTCCCCTTCCCCGCCCCCCACTTACCCCCTAAACTATACAGTGAAACCTCTATTAAGCGGACACTAAACCGGGTCCCGAAATTAACGTCTTATATTTCCCCATATAACGAACCCTATTCAGCGGACACCTTTATTAAGCGGCTAATTTCTATTGTTAAAAACCTCTATTAAGCGGACAACGGACTGAATTGACAATGGTAGTATTAGATTTCATCCTTGAAATACGTAATGAAGTCTGTTAATTTTTAACAGGCAACTTTATCACAGTACAGAGAAACCGCTGAATGTTGATCGTTGACAAACACTGCGCAATTTTTACAACCTCTATTAAGCGGACACTTGGAAGGTCTCGAAGTTTTAATAGAGGTTTCACTATAGCTGGGTTGTTTGTTGTTCCCCACAGACAGCTTAAACAACTGGCACAACATTGTTAGAGCAGGGGTGGGAGAGGGAAAGCTTGTTTTTCCCCGTGAACGTCTAATAGTGGCTTGCAAAACGTGAGAAATGTCGTTAAGGACAAGTGTCTCATACAGCTAAGTTTGTCTCTGATTTTAGTTTGGTTTTAAAATGTGTTTTTTGACGCGTATTTACCACTATGTGACAAAAATATGACATGCATTTAGACTGGTGATAACGATCTGAAATAATTCTGATAAAAATTACTTACTTCCACGCTATAAAGCTTATTAGAAGAAACGTTGTATTCCTTCCATTCCAATTCATTCAGTTCTTCTTCAAGGTTCTCGTTTTCTCGAACCGTTGGCATTGGCGCTTTAGTCTGGCTTAAAACATTTTCCTCCAGGGTCCGTTGTAAAGGGTTTAAGTCTCCAATCTGCCCCGCGTTTTTAATTTTTACTGAACGTAAGAATATGAACGCGAAGCAAATAAGTAAGGCAAATGCAATTTTCCTTTTATGCTTGTTAATACCACGATAAACTCCATGTATCCAAGTAGATTGACTGCTGTGTATAGAAATCATAGATATTATATTCCCTCTCGTATGAATATTATAATCTTCTCTCGTAAACTGATTTTAACAGTTCGCAGTGAATAAGAAACAATTTTGTTTATCCAGCAGTGTTCGAGGACGTGTATTTAATATTCTGTGAATTTTTATACAAATTAACTAACAAGTAAAGACCTTCGCTTTTGTTTTGTTCTGTTCTATTAAACATCTGTAATTGACAAACTAACTTGGGATACTTTCGAACTGAAAAATCTTTCATTTCTTCGTAATCCTATTTCGTTCAAATATTAGAATTCGAAATAAAGATAGAAGTGCCTGAACGCAGTGATCAGCATAAATTTTCTCTCAACATTATATCCAGCCGTCAGTGCATAATTAAAAGAAAAAGTTACAATGATCACCAAAGGAGAAATGATTTGATCTTATTAAGACGGAATCCACCAGGAAATTGAGTAATTTTAGTATTCAGTGGACAAAAACCTTGTACCAGAATAATTTAAAGCATATTGCATTATTTTTTACATTTTTCAAGGGCTAAAGATGTAATTAATCATCTTTAATAACACCAAACAAAATTTCTGATCGGAGCCCGAGAAAATGAACGCCAAATTTCACAAAATTACACCTTACACATTAACTTTTAAGAATTTTACCTTTGTTTTTATAATTCTTGTGAAATTTGACATTCATTTTCTCGGAATCCCACGAGCAATTTTCTTTGGTGTTATTACAGATGACTAATTACATCTTGATCCCTTGAAAAATGTAAAAAAAAGCAGGCAATGTTCTTTAAATTATTGTGGTACAAGGTTTTTGTCCACTGAAAGTTAAATTACTCAATTTCTTGGTGGATTCCGTCTTAAATTCTCTCAACTAATTATTCAACAAAACGCATGGAGATCGGTCTGGAGAATTTGGATGCGGATACTTTGGGGTTAAAGGATTGTAAAGTATGTTTGGGTCGAAAATTGAATTGATATCAATTCTTTTATCCTCAAACTTTATCTCCTCTTCTCCCCGTGCCAGTTACACAGGTTTCAATGAAAACATAGTAGTAGAATTGCACGGTATTACTATTATGCAGTTACTACCGACGAAATATTTTTGTAAGACGAATTAAAGATTTCAATTGCATAGTCGATGAAGCTACTGCGCTGAGGGTTAAACGATCTTTCGGATTCTGAAGAATGGAGATTGTAACTTCCTTTCCTTAGTCAACTCATTTCTAAAGTTTCTTGTTTGATTAAAACGAATGAGGTAGANTTAAATTCTGTCAACTAATTATTCAACAAAACGCATGGAGATCGGTCTGGAGAATTTGGATGTGGATACTTTGGGGTTAAAGGATTAAAAAGTATGACGGTTTGGGTCGAAAATTGAATTGATATCAATTCTAGTATCCTCAAACTTTATCTCCTCTTTTCCCCGTGCCAGTTACACAGGTTTCAATGAAAACATATAATAGTAGAATTGCACGGTGTTTAACTATTATGCAGTTACTACCGACGAAATATTTTTGTAAGACGAATTAAAGATTTCAATTGCATAGTCGATGAAGCTACTGCGCTGAGGGTTAAACGATCTTTCGGATTCTGAAGAATGGAGATTGTAACTTCCTTTCCTTAGTCAACTCATTTCTAAAGTTTCTTGTTTGATTAAAACGAATGAGGTAGATTCAACTGAATTTACAATCAAAATTAACAGAAACAAGTATTAGTACTCGCGTAACCAACATAAACTTGTCCCAAACTACAGCACAGTGGAACCTGTATTAAATTAAGAGACCCGATGTCAATCGCTGAGATACGAACGTCAGTTATGTTACTCTTTTCGTCCCATACTTTCTGTGAAACGAACATGTATTTAACTCTGGAACACTGCTGCTACGCGGGTATTTGCGAGGGTTTGCTTGACGTACGCTTTCTTTTGCACAACCGCATGCGAAGGAACTCGATAAGTGAGTGTTAAGCGTGCTAATTTTTATTTTCACTTCTTGTTAAATTCAAGGTCAATGGCTTGTAGTAACGGTTTGTCATAGTGCAAACTAAAAACCTCACCCGGAAAAATTTATGTTTAGCGTTTTAAAATTGAAAAATGAAGACATTTTTCTGTCGCGCGTCTGTTGATGACTTATCAGTCTTTCGATGTTAATAATTTCAGCCTTACTATGTTTTATGATATGATCAAATCTCTAATACGCCCCGTGATCGATGTGTTGTACACAGAATTTAGAATTTTCCAGAAGTCAGTCCATTTCGCACCCTCTTACACAGGAGCGAGGAACACTGGCCAGAAGTTAGTTACCAGTACCTCCCTTAAAGCTCGTTGCCTAAGAGATAATCGAAGTCAAAGTTTAATCTGCCCTATTCCACTTAGATCATCACTATGAAAAAGTTGCAAAATATATATGAAGAAATTTCTGTAAGGAACATCCCAACGCTTGAGGAATCTACAGAGAAGCCCATATTTTGGTCAAAATTTTGAGCCGTAGTGCTCTAAAATTGTAGACTTAATATTGTAAAATGTTAATCTACAATTCCAGTTTTCCTCTTTGATCAGCTGTAAAATATTTGCTCCGAACATTACTTGGGAAGATACATTAAGTTCCCTTTTAATCAAGCCATTCATGAACAGAAGAAGTGTTCATTTTGTGTGGTTGCTTTCTTTGGCTTGCCTATTAAATAGAACGGATGCATGACACTTTGAAATTATTATAATTACCTGAACATCATCGAACGCTCGTTTCCGATGATCGATATTGTTGCTATGCCGTGAGTCGCCTTAATTGAAATAAAAAAGGTAAAAAATATTTTGATTTGGAGTAAACTCAAAGACTGTTATCAGCACTTGGATATTGCTTCCTTTTTGAAAGGATCACTTTTTAACGTTACGCGCACGTTTTGAAGAACTTCGAAGAAAATGAATGTAAACAGCCGACTTGCTTTTTTTGATTGATGAAAAAAAGGTAAAGGGAAATGAATGGGGTCTAAACAGCGCAAATTACTGAAAACGGATGATTTATGAAACATTTTGTAACTAACATATAGATTAAGTGATAAATGCGGAATTTTCGTGCTTGTCGGGAATATACGAATGATAACTCTAGTCCTTGTGCAAACTTATTTCGGAGACATATTCATCCCCGATGAGAATCCAACAGGTGCATTTGTGTTCATTGATTGTATTCTAATAATTCAGCTGCAGCAAAAATTACCATCAGATTATTCCGATGTAATTAGTGTAATCAGCTGAGTATTGAAGGTCAAGCCCTCGTGCTCAGTGAAACGCTGTAGACATTCGCAGAAACACAAAACGTGTCTGATCAGTGCGAATGCCATGGGGAAGATAAAAGTTTTCCTCTGCTTCGCAGTTTTCTTTTTTGGAATTTGTCAGTTCGTGTCATCCCAGGACTGGCTTGATGTATCCAAAACAGAACTCCTGAAGTTAATCATAAATTAATAAAGCCTGAAATTAAGGTGGTGTCTTTAATTGTCTGAGATTTTTGAATGCTTGGCTGTTGGATTGTTTTCGTTTATAACGAAAAATTATAAAGCGAATCTGAAGAGATTTAAACAAGAGTCTTTTCTTTCAAGTTACCGATCTGTTTCATATGAAACAGAGCCTGAAAAGCCTCTTTTAAGCAAACTAGAATGATTTAGGTTTCCTTGATTCTTTTCGTTTACAAAGAAAAAATATGGAGTGAAACTGGAAATTTAAACTAGTGGGTTGCTTTTCTTTCAGGTTACCAACCTGTTTCCTGCTGAAATAGTTAGATTTGTTGCATTAATATCAAGACTGAAGAGCCTCTTTCAAGCAAACTGGTATGGTTTAGGTTTCTTTCTTTAAAAGTGATTGAATTCAGAAAAAGCAAATAGTCCACCACCATAAACTGACCATAACAAAGTGCTATGAGACTTTACGTAGCTCTTTTGTAAAAGACTACTGTGCAGGTTTGACCCTGCTCCATTGAAATAATCATTACTTTGTCGAAGAGGAAATACGTCACTGGGACTGAATTCACTTACATAAAATGGAGGCTTCCCTTCTCTTGATCCTCCGGCCAACGGCAATGATGAAAGTAACGTTAAAAAAATCCCGATTTTGCCCGAATCTACCCTGCGAACAGAGTCTCCTTCGATCTTCCTAGAAAGATCAAAGCGACTTTGCTAGCAGGGTAGCCCGAATCGAAACCTAACGGGAACAATATATCGCTGATCTGTTATTCTGAGACGTTTTTGTGTCGTATAAGACTTGGCCAAGCGCTATGGAAACAAATTTTTCAAGGTTCTCTTACTCTCCTCGTATCTTTTGAATTCGCGACATCCTGTCAGAAAATCAAAGTTTGGTACATGCACAGTAACGGGATACGGTTCCTTTAAGCTAAGGCGTTTTTGAGCGATGTACGTCAACGGGAAGTGGACCTTTTACATTTCTGAGCGGTGGTTTTGTCCAAATTTTCAGTTAAATCGTCTCTTCAAGTGTAAAGAAACTAAACAATACAAATTTTATAGCGTCAAGGCATATTAACACGGGTGAGTCCTAACTTCCGGTTGATGTGCATCTCTTAAAAACGCCCAAATAACACATCTACTTATCCTGGTAACTATACAAATTTATCATTAAAGAATATATATCCCAATCAAAGGTGGGATATATTTTGGCCCCCTTCCCCGCCCCCCACTTACCCCCTAAAATATACAGTGAAACCTCTATTAAGCGGACACTAAGCCGGGTCCCGAAATTAACGTCTTATATTTCCCTATATAACGAACCCCTATTCAGGACACCTCTATAGAGCG